TTTTTTTCCAAAACTTGTTCTAAGTGATTGTCCGTCGCTATAAAGTTTAAACATGTTGTACGAGAGCCGGAAAGACTTTGGAGCAAGCAACCTTGCGGATCTTGCGGACCTATGAGATCTCTATTTTCACACCTATGAAGTTGATGGCAGCAGCACTCTGCCTGCCACATGCATTGTGAGGGGGAAGCGAAAAAACGATGAGCAGCCAGATGCAGGGCTTTGGGACGAGGACATACGGCCCAGTCACAAGTTTTGCCGAATGAAAGGAGGACAAGGAATGAGATGTAATCAATGTGATCAGTTGGATGGGCTTTGAGGACGAGACAGGCTTCCTGAATCCCTTCTCAGAGAAGGCTCAGGTTCTTTTCGACATCCGCAAGTGCAGGACAGATAGCAAGCAGTCCTGGACAGTTTTGACACTGGAGGCCATCGCTAGTAGGTGGAGGCCATCCCTAGTGGAGTGGAGGCCATCGCTAGTAGGTTTACTAGCCATCGCTAGTGGGGTGGACGGTGTCAGCGCTTCTCTTCTCGTTCAAAGGACCGGCGATTCCTCGGATTTGCTTTGCACCGGGGGATGCTTGGACCTGGTTCGGGGCAGCCTCACCTGCAACACTGAGGAGGCATGTTGTGCAGCAGACGACCTCGGCGCATTGCGTGTTGCATTGGCGCATGATCCACAGTGGCTTTTCTCTCATTCGACTCGGAACTCATCAGCTGAAGGTCTAGTCTAGTTTGTACCCAAGGTACTTCACATTGCCCCACCGAATTCATTCAATACTATTCAATATAAGCGTTGGTGTAAAGTGCGCTCCCTTCAGCCTTAGATTTGCCACATTTCGTCTCTAAAATTGGGCCAGGATCACAGCCCACAATCAGAACTCCAAACTCTCAGCAGCACAACTCAGAGCTCCAAAGGACCTTTCAAGGTGTGAACTTTCAGAGCTTCTGGCCATGGCCTCACCATCCTCACCCGTCCCTGTGACCATCATCGCTGGATCCTTCGGGTCGGGGAAGACGACTCTATGTAACCAGCTGCTGGAGACATGTGCTGCTGCACGGGCAAGTGTGGCTGTGATTTCGCACCGCTTTGCTGAAGAGAGCCTCGTCATTGACGATGCTTTGCAGTTTGCAGTCACTTCACTGTGTGTCATATAATGTCATATACTCATATACTATCATGTACTACATGTTTTCTTGAATGATGATTGATGGAGCATGTTGGTATCATTGAAATGTGCGAGGTATGCTTGCCAGCCAGTGGTGATTGACCAATCGCACTGCAATTTGGTGGAAGAGGTTTTCGATTATGGCAGTGGCTGTTTGTGCTGTACCCCTGGTGGTGAACTAAATCAAATGCTGAACAATATGATCATGTGGGGCCTCTTTGCTGCAAATGCTGGTTGAATTTGCTTCAATCATTGACATGGAGCCATTGTCCACCAAAGGGATTGGGTTCGAAGCGCAACTGAGGTGAGCACTATGACCATGTGCTTGTTCGAGCAGGTCCTGCTGCTGATCCGTTGCTTTTTGCTGATGCGGTGCAGCGAAGCAGCGCTTATCGCATTTCAGGGTTGGTCACAGTCGTGAATTCTTCGATGTCCCTTGGCTGCGGTCTTGGCAGTTGCTTCAGAAGGGACAGGTCATGTGTGCTTCAGCTTCAGCTTGCAGTTTTAGGCTTAGCTACCCTGAGCAATTGACCTACGGCGCATCTTTCGACCAACTGCAAGCAGCAGACGTGCTCCTCCTGCGGTTGGAGAAGGCGTGGATCAAATGAGGGGAACAAGAACACCACGACAACCATAAAACCAGAGATAGAGGAACATATAGTGAGATCAAACAAGAACCGGTGGGTGCTCACACAAGGTCAAATCCATAGATATGATAGAACTCTCATAGCTGGATTGTAAGGCTGATGGAGAGGTGGAGGCCTTGCAGCAGCTGCAGGACATTTGCCAAGCAAAGGACTGGATCCATACAAAAAAAACTGAGAAGTTTCAAAAGGGCTGTTTGGCACTGCCAGTCCGGCACTTGAATTGCTATATATTGCTATGCCTCAGCTTCTGTGCCTTCAGGGCATCAGCACACCCATTCGACTTTGGAGACATGGGACTGCTATTGACAGCGAGTTCTTACTGAATTGTCGTCCAGATGATCGAGAATACACATGCAACAAAGAACTGAATTGGAGCAAGATAGTAGAGCTTTTACGTTTTTTAAGTATGTTAGCAGTGCTTAGCAGGTGTTCACAGCACTGGCAATCCAAAATACAGAGCTCTTGGTCCATGAGGCAAACCATCCAGCTTGGTGCCAAATCTCATGGCAAGCCACGATACAAACTTCAAGGCTATCCAGATGGTTGAGAACGGCATAGTCAGTTTGCAGGCAACGCAGCAGTGGGCTGTAAGCTTACTTCGCCAAGGTTGTTTGGCCGCAGTTTCCTTTAATGTGTGTTTTGTATATATGCAAACGCAGCCATGCACCATACGTGCCTTCGTACGTCTTGGTCAACAGTCAAGCCACATGGGAGTACAGAACATTTTGCTGGCCTTCATTTATTCCTTGACATTGGTTCAGCTTCAAGAGAATCAGAGAGGGGAAGACAGAAAGAGAGACGGAGTGAGACATCAGCAATGTAAAGTAGAAGAGGAAGAATACATAAACAACATGAAGGCAGTGACGCTAGCCACCTCATGCAAGAGTGGAAGTGGAACACAACACCTTATTTGTTCGTCGATGAAAATTGTTCCTGGCAGAGCATATTCTGCGCAGAAATTTGCGGGGAGTTATACTTGCAAGCAGTTCCCGGGCAAGCCGGCGGCGGAAGTTTCCTATAAGAACAAATTGACCTATAGGAGTGTCCCGGTTCTTTCCACCATGCGTGTCCCTCGTGTCCCTCAGTCAGACGCATGCGCTCCGGACTTTTGACCAACACAGCGCCACCTGTGCAAGGTCTGTGCTCCCTGATGTACTAAAGTTGTACTACAAAGTCGCCAGTTCTCAGCTTCCACCACAGGTTACTCCGCATACTACAGTTGTACTACAAAGTCGCCAGTTCTCAGCTTCCAGCTCCCCAGATACTCTGCGCACTAAAGTTGCACTACAGAGTCACCAGTTCTCAGCTTTCTCAGCTGCCAGCTCCACAAATTGCTCCGCGTACTAAAGTTGTACTCAAAGTCGCCAGTTCTCAGCTTCCAGCTCCCCAGGTTCCTCCGCGTACTACAGTTGCACTACAAAGTCGCCAGTTCTCAGCCTCCACCTCGCCAGATTACTCCGCGCACTAAAGTTGTACTACAGAGTCACCGGTTCAAAGCTTCCAGCTTTGCACCTCGAGGTTCACAAAGTGCTGTGCCTGCCACGAAATCTGCACATGGAGGCTGGAGGTTCACAAAGTGCTGCGCCTGCCACGAAATCTGCACATGGAGGTTCACAAAGTGCTGCGCCTGCCACAAAACCTGCACATGGAGGTTCACAAAGTGGTGCGCCTGCAACGAAATCTGCGCATGGAGGTTCACAAAGTGCTGCGCCTGCCGCGAAATCTGCACATGGAGGTTCACAAAGTGCTGTGCCTGCCACGACATCTGCGCCTCGAGGTTCACAAAGTGCTGTGCCTGCCACGAAATCTGCACATGGAGGTTCACAAAGTGCTGTGCCAGCCACAAAATCTACACATGGAGGTTCACAAAGTGCTGTGCCTGCCACGAAATGTGCACCTCAAGGTTCACAAAAAGTGCTGCACCTGCCACGAAATCTGCACATGGAGGTTCACAAAGTGCTGCGCCTGCCACGAAAACTGCGCATGGAGGTTCACAAAGTGCTGTGCCTGCCACGAATTCTGCACATTCAAGAAACAACTGAAAACTCTAATCACAATGGAGGGACGATTCCGAGCATGATCCGACCATGATGCGAGAATGACTCGCGCACGTCGTTCCGCAAAGCTTGACTTGCCAGCTTCGGAGCCACCCTTTCTATTGAAAAACATAGCATTTCGTGCGTCCGCTATCTCTCGAAAACGCATTTTGCATTGCGCTTGCCGCGAAATCTGCACCTCGAGGTTCACAAAGTGCTGTGCCTGCCACGAACTCTGCACATGGAGGTTCACAAGGTGCTGTGCAGGCCACTTCAAGAAACAAGTGAAAACTCTAATCACAATGGAGGGACGATTCCGACCATGATCCGAGCATGACCCGAGACCGTCTCGCACACGTCGGTCTGCAAAGCTTGACTTGCCAGCTTCGGGGTCACCCTTTCTATTGAAAAACACCGCATTTCGTGTCCGCTACCTCCCACGAAATCTTCACATGGAGGTTCACAAAGTGCTGCGCCTGCTACGAAATCTGCACCTCGACGTTCACAAAGTGCTGCGCCTGCCACGAATCTGCACATGGAGGTTCACAAAGTGCTGCGCCTGCCACGAAATCTGCACTTCAAGAAACAAGTGAAAACTCTAACCACAATGGAGGGACGATTCGGACCATGATCCGACCATGACCCGAGCATGACCCGAGACCGTCTCGCACACGTCGTTCTGCATAGCTTGACTTGCCAGCTTCGGAGCCACCCTTCCTAGTGAAAAACACAGCATGTCGTGCGTCCGGCTTCCCTCGAAAACGCATTTTGTATTTCGCGTGCCACGAAATCTGCACCTCGAGGTTCACAAAGTGCTGTGCCTGCCACGAAATCTGCACATGGAGGTTCACAAAGTGCTGCGCCTGCCACGTAAACTGGAGCTAGAGCTATTGAAACTGGAGCTAACTGGAGCTAGAGCTCTTGAAACTAGAGCTACCTGGAGCTAGAGCTCTTGCAACTAGATCTAACTGGAGCTAGAGCTCTTGAAACTAGAGCTAACTGGATGATGAGTGGTGTATGCTGAGTGGTGTCTGATGAGTGGTGTATGATGAGTGGTGCATGATGAATGGTGTATGATGAGTGGTGTATGATGAGTTGTGTATGATGAGTGGTGTATGATGAGTGGTGTATGATGAGTGGTGTATGAACAGTTCTTGAATGTCCGGTAGCACTGAAGTTTCGTACACTAGACTTTCTTTGATAATTGTAAAAGGTTAAAGCACCTAGTTCAAAGTCGTACAAGAACTTAAGAACGAACTTAGGCATGAACACCCTGCCAGATAGAAACACTATCTCACATACTGTTTATAGTGTATATATATATATAACTATATACAAATATAATTTTGATGTAGTTTTTGAGGTGCAAGTCTCATGCAGTGATGCACATAGTTCAGTTTGTTCTTGAAGTCTTTTGATTGTGAACCTCTTTATGCAATTTTATACTGTAACTGTAATGGACTTGAGGCTGTTGAACATTGCCCTTTAGTTTGTTCATGCAAAAAAAGGTCCCCGTGCCCGTGAGGATTCATCGTGCGCCTGAAAGCGCTATTGCCAGTGCGGATCGAGGGCGACATGTGGATGCTTCTCATCAATGCAACGCGTGGACAAGCTATGGGCCTGAGCGTTGTCAACACATTTTTAGCTCAGCATTTTTCATAGTTACAGTTTTCAATCCGTTCTTGGGATGTTTTATTCTGTTTTGTTTGGCTCATTTGGAACTATGTGCCTTGCGCGATCCAGTTTCCGCAGTTTGCTTAGCGAGGTCAAGGAAGCACCAACACAAGTGTTCATGGGCGACCTACAGACACTGGTCCTGCGGAAGGTTGAGGCTGCCGATGCAACCAAGCCGCTTTGCAGGCTCTTCCTCCTGCAGCCAAGCCTTGCCAGGACTCCTTTTCGATTATTTACAATCGGCTGTAGTTGTGACTGCTCGTGAAGTTGTGTTTACAAAACTGCAAACAGATTTGATATCTATATATATATATACATTTAGTATGATATAGTTATATATATATGTAAACGATGCAAGCGTTATTGTTGATTTGGCACTTTCCAGAGCCCACCTAGACGATAAATCAATCAATCACCAGTTGCTACGTACGACATTGTTACATGATGTGATTTGATCTCTTGCAGTGTTTGAGGTTGGGCCCTCCAATGGCAAAGGGCTTGGGTGATATGGATGACCTCGTGAAGTGCATGCCTTCGAGCGTTGACTTGGCTGACGATTTTGCCTCACTTCTTGTTGATTAGGTGTTCAGGCTGGAGCTTGATTGCTTCAAGGCATCGAAAGTCCACCTTGCAATTGTACAAAGCTGTTGGGCCAAGCTTTTCCGTCGTGGCTGACCAATTGCCTGGCCGGCTTGCACGCTTGCTCACAGCATTGTGCATTTGTTTCATTCTATTTTCCAGATCTGTCATGGTGCACTCCAAGCAGATTGCAAAGATAACATGCGAGCATGTCTTGGCATGTGTGCGTTCCTTAGGACAAGTCCAGTCTTGCACACAGGGCAGCACAAGAAAGCTAAGACAATGGATTCAAGATGGTCATTCCTTGAGGAGAGAGCAAGAGAGAGTCGAATGCAGGAGTTTGAGGAGATTTACAACCTTGCGATGAGCCTCACCGTGGAAAATGACCATGCTACGGTAGTGAGAGTCAGCCTCTCATCAATTGACAGCTTGCTGCAAATCCATTCGCAATATTCCGAATATGGTTCCGAATGTATAAGAAGCTTGCAGATACTTGCAGGTCAAGAACGGGTTCCATTCACCTGCTGCTGGTGGCTACTGCGATCTGAAGCCGTGGCCTTACCCTTCTGCCTAGACCAGTTGGTGGTAGTGTTGTTGGTATATCGCTATATGGCAAGCTATATATGACTACTGTAGGCTTGAGTGGCAATTGTTGACGACAACTCAGGTTGTTTCTTCTGATTGCGCATGACAGACCTGAAGATGGTTCCATTGTTGGCTCAAAGGTGCCATCAACAATCAGGCTGCGAGTGTTTGAGCAGGGCATGTTGCTGCCAGGTTTGCCATATTTGCGAGCTCCAAGTCCACCTGAAGCAGTTCTTGGCATGCAAAAAGTACACCCACCTGCCCTATGCGGCTGGACAGCATTTGCAACTGTGACACCTGTGCAACAAGTGAGACTGAGAGACAGAAACAGCTTGGGCTGCTTAGGTGATCGATCGTGGTGACTTCGACCAGATGTAAATATCATGGAATTTGTGTCTCAGGCAACAAAATGCTTGAACATGTGTAAACGAAACCTGGTGGCCAGGATGCAGCTCAGTGCTGCCTGCTGGCCTCCCCCTGCAAAGTGTCAGGGTTTTGCACTAGTTGGGGCGGCACGCTATAGGCGGAACTCCAATAGTAGTGCATGAAGATGCTCGCTTGGAAAACCCAAGAATAGCATCCTAGTCTTCCATGCTTCCTCAAAGCAGTGGAAAAACCAAGGGAGTGATATGCAGCGCGCATTTGGAAAAAGGAACTCCCCAGCTATTCGGACTTCTATCCTTCGGTGTTTTTTTTTTGTGTCCTTATCCATGAATTTCAGATCAGATTCATCCTTTAGTCGGAGATCTCATCTTTTTGTCGGCCCAAAGATCAACAATGAAAAGGCCTGTGTTGTTTTGCCCGGCTTTACCTTGGTGTTTTGTTTGCCTCCCATGCTGGCGCTTGCTGCCTTGGATCGGGCAACTCCTTTAGCTCTTACTCGAGCATCACACGTGGTGCGGGCGGAGGCGTTTGAAACCATCCGGTCGCTCGCTGAGCCGAAACTTGGCCGAGCGAGGTCCGAAGCGAGGACATCTGCGTTGGTGCTTGGAGCAGGTTGTTTGCTTGCGCAAGGCCTTTGCTCACAAAGCCGGAGCAGTATGTTCATCAGGTCTTGGAGCAGAAGACGCCTGGCAACTGTTGCATGCTCTGCTCACAGGAGACCGCATGATGCAAAAGATGCAAAAGCATCGCGCATGGCTAGAATGACCTGCTGCGATGAAGCTCCTACGCAAAGCCCACAGGAGCGCACACTTCCAGAAATGACTTCCGAAACTGGCATTCTCCGCCCATTGCCGCAACGCATACGAAATGATATTGGCAAGTTTGACACTGGCCGGTATGCAAACCCCAATGCCTTGGAAGGTGAAGCATACTACTTGCCAGGGTTGAATTGCCGTCCCGATGACCGATCAGTGTTTCAGCGTCTCATGTTGGAACTGGACTTTAAGGACTGCTGGCTTGAGACAGGCATGAAATTTTCTCGTCAAATTTGCATTGGAGATGCAGAGACGCTGGCAAAGGCACCAACTTATCGTTCCATCGTCGAAAGGGTCTCTAAGGTGTTTGGGGTTCGGGTGGTGCGGACCCTGGTGAATCTTTACCGAGATGGTCGTGATTGGTGCAACTTGCATTCGGACCAATATCACCAGGGTGGCTATCCCATTGATCTCACCGTAGGTGCGACCTTTGGAGATCCACGCAGGCTGCTGTGGGTGGAGAAGCGCAATACACGTCACAAAATTGAGCTCCCACAACGCAATGGGGACGTTTTTGCGTTCTCCGACAAAATCAACACGACTTGGCGGCATATGATTCCTGAGGAGGGTCCTGAGTGTGGACCGCGCATCTCGGTGATCGTGTGGTGTGACCGGCAGGAGTCTTCCAATTGGCTGGGCTCTCTGGGAAGTTTCCCACACATGCTGTATCACAATCCACGGGGTAGGGGTCAGGACTTTAAGGCCAAGCCGCAAAACCGAAGGGCGGCATCTTCACCGATCTTGGGCCCTGAGCAACTTCTCCCTGAGGAGCTGGAAGATGCTTTGACAAATGCAAAAAAAGCGATAACTCTGCAAGGAGCACAGCAAGTGTTTGCAATTCTTCGTGGCATCAAGCTTATTGAAAATCGCACTTGGGCAATTCCGAGGGGATGGTATGCCCTACATGCAGGTGCACAAATGATCAACGAAGAGCGTGCTCAACGAACCAGAAAGGCTTGGCCAGAGGCGCCGCCAGAGGAAGAGCTACCCCATGGAGCCATTGCGGGTCTTATTTACATAGACCAGAATTGCAAGCCGAGGGATTGCAGGAAAGGCTACATTTGGGCGCGGGGGCCTATTTGCAATGTGATCTCTCGTGCAGTGGAGCTTCCGAAGCCAGTACGATGTCGTGGGGACCGTGGACTTTGGGAGCTACGAAGCTCGTTGAAAGTTCGGATCCGCTCGGAGTTGCTAAGAGCTGGGAGTTGTTGTGAGGTGAAGCACTTTGACCTGACCCCAGCACTTGGACGTGCGGATGATTCTCGATGCGGATGATTGTGGGAGACTTGTGTCACCCCTTTGAGTCACAAAGAGCACTTGGCAAGGGGTGCTTGTGTAGTCGCAGTCCCCAGATTCAATCCGAGACACCCAGAAGACGGAGAAAAGTGCTTGCATGACTTTTGCAGTACTTGCCAAATTACACCCAGCATGGGGGAAAACATCACCTTCAAAGATAGAGAGTGCACAACTAGGTTCAGCGCTGTCCTTCCATCAAGAAGGAGAATGTACAGGCTGGCTGGCTTCAATGATTTTGCAGTACGTCTTACTGGTCGACTCATATTTGCCAGAAGTACTACAATCAATTGTATAATAACAGTATAACAAGGTAACTCATGGCAGTTTGTGGATGTGGTCTCATTCTGCCCAAGGTCCGGGATGTGGTTCTTTTGATTGAGAAGAGGAGTGAAGGCAGGCCAATTGCCGGAGTTTGAAATTTGGGTTTGACACTTTTTGGAACTGTTTGAGGATCCGGAAGTGGACCGGCTAGGAGCCCAGAACATTGAAACCGGCAGCACTAGCGGTCCTTTCATGCCTGAGTGGGAATGGAGGTCCTTAAATTGGCGGTGGCAGCAGGCAACAACGCGCCATCTCAATCTGAAACGAGCACTGTGCCCGCTTGCTTCTATGATTTGTCAGGCGCTGTAGCTCTTTCAGGCCTTGTTGTGCTGGTCTTAGTGGACAGGCTCCAGACCATCCGTGATGCTTTGTCATGGGTAGCATTACATTCTTTGTTTTGTGTAGTTTACATCGCCATTTGAGTGATAGGCAGGATCTCTGGCTAGAGAAACCTTGGGCATGGTCAGGGTCAGCCCCCTTCCTGTTTTTCCATTCTGAACCAACCAGGGGGGGGCCGACAACCATAGATTTTGTCCAATTCAAATCGAACGCCGCAGCCAAATCAAGCTTGTGTTGTGCGAAATCACTGTGGAGCTCCCAAACCAAGCTTGTGTGTTGTTAATCTCACTGATTTCATGATCTTGCAATACCCCGAGAGTGTCACTTCCCTTTGAGTCAGGTGCGTTTGATGGCGTAGCAACATGCTAAACAAACAAAAAATGGACTGGACCCATGTACATGAGGCTACCTGCAGCTAGCTTTGGCCATGCAGTCCTGATGCCTCCTGATGTCCAGCGATGCTAGATCTAACTGTGGAAGGTTTGCAGCAAGAAATTGCCCGGCTTCACTTGCAGCTGCATGGCAGAAAGCTCCAGTATTGAGCCGTTCTCAAGGCCGAAGGCATTATAGAGGGTCAGAAGGCCGTTCTGGGTCATATCCATACAGGAGCTGTCAACTTTCATTAATGGCAAATGCATTCTGGTGCTAGTTGAGGTTCATTCACTCGGATGTTCGAAAAAAGTTGAATTATAAGCCAGGAGAACCATGTTTCAGTTCACATGAGGGTGCCATCCTCCAGAATTGTATTTTTACAACTTTGTTGTCGAATCTGGAATCGGCCATAGTAAGAATTCTAGCATTGATACAAGAGTCTTCAAATTGATGAAGCGTGTTCAAGCTCTATGTCCAAACAAATGAATCACATCCAGGTTTTAACCCCCTGCACACCACAAGAGTTCATGAAAAGCATTGAACTACTTAGACACTGATCAAGCGTGGCCTCAACCAAGGCTTTTGGCTAAGGAGACTGTGCATTGTCATGTTCTTGCTGCAGCATCAAAGCTTTGGAGTCCACACCTTGGATCATGGCGACCGACTTTGCTGCTTGTGGTTGTGACGGTGCACTCATAGAGCCTTGAGCAAAACTTCAAGGCAGCCACGAGATCCGGAACGCATCTTCGACGTGCAAAGAGGCTGGTGTGATACGAAGCACAAACACCGCAAAGAAGTTGTCAACACCGCAGCGCTACAAACCAACAGGTGCAAACAGAAGAAGTTGAGATCCAAGGCGAGGCCGTGTGCTATATTGCCAGGGATCTAACTATATTTATATGTTGCCAGGCATGTGATATATATATATATATATATTTCGATTGCACTTATCACCTATTATCACATTCACGAAAGCCAGCGAACGCATGCGAACGAGTGAACATGTGTTGAGGTCTTGGTGATGTGGGAGATGTGTCGATTTTGTTGCCTAGGTGATGTTGATGATGCGAAGGTGTGGTTGTTAGCATCAATGGCATCAAGGTGTGACTTGTAGGTAGGTCGATGGATTGCCCTTTGAATCACCTGCAGGTAGGTTGATGGATGGATGAATAGACAGAAGTGTCAGAGAGTCAGAGAGCTGGCGGGATAGATGTATAAGAGATATATAGTTCTTTGGTGGATGTGGCTCGAGGTGAGAAAAGTATGCAAAGTGCTGCTAGACTTATCAGGTGGGTGGATGGAGGGATGGATAGAAGGGAAGGGAAGGTCAGAGAGACAACGAGACAACAGCTGAAGAGGTAGGGAGATGGAGACATAGTGAGAAGATGCGGCTAATTAGATGTAAAAAGATGTAAAAAGATGATCAGCAGATGTGGATGGATGTGTGCAGAGTGTAGATACGTCAATGGATGGCTAGTAGAAGAATGGGAGGGTGGATGGGTGGATGGATGATAGGTAGAAGGTAGATGTGGATAGATGGATGCGTGTAAAGTGTAGATAGGTCAATGGATGGCTATGGATGGCTAGTTGGACGAATAGGGGGGCAGATGGGTGGCGGGACAAAAGCGGAGAGAGAGGTAGAGAGATAGCAAAAATGATATGAGCTAGAGAACAGATCGAAGCCACCCCTAGACTAGAGGCGCCCTTCTTTTGTTTTCTTTAAGGGCCTGCTAACCAAACAAAGGGTCGAGAGCTGGAGAGCAAGACCTGTGCCGTTTGATGCTTGGAGTGGTCCAAACGTGCAGAATGCAATGCCAGCAGCACTCGTAGAGCTCATTCACACACTCTAAGGGAGTTGAAGCGTTGGCAATTCTTCTGGACGTTTTGAGTGCGCTTGTAGGTAGGTCAATCGATGGAAGGATGGATAGAAGGGGAGAGAGTGTCAGAGAGATAGCGAGACAGAGAGATTTGCTGAAGAGATAGAGACATATCATAGAGATATTGTTCCGTACACATGGCTAGATGTAAAAAGAGGGTATATAAGTAAATGTGGACAGACGGACGTGTTTAGAGTGTAGATAGGTCAATCGATGGCTAGTTGGACGAACTGCTGGGTGGATGGTAGATGGATACGAGAGTGATAAGAGGTGAGAGTGTCAGAGAGACGGCGAGACAGAGATATAAGCTGAAGAGATACGGAGATAGAGTCATAGACTAATAGAGGGATAGATATTTTTGATAAGTAAAAGTGGATAGATGGATGTGTCTAGAGTCTAGAGTTTATACAGGCCAATGGATGGCTAGTGGGACGAATGGGTTCTGGAAAAAAAAAGGGGAGAGAGGTAGAGAAATAGGGGGATTGAGAGGTGGAGAGCTAGAGAACCTAGGGGTGCCCTTTTTTCTGAGGGCTTGACAACCAAGAAAGGGCACCTCGGTGGTTGCTGGCTGGCCTTGGCTTTCGTCTCATCCCTTCTCAGGTATGTCCTTTCATGGCTTTCCATGTTCTTTTCCTAATGGTAAAGGATACCAGTCCTGGAAATAGTAATTACTGTACATATAATTGCAAGTTATCGGAGATGAAACGAGACTAGTTTCGCCCACTTTGTTCTTCAGGAGTTCCATTCTCTGAGACTGGGGCGACCCTGGCCTCTACTTTCAGCCTTGATCATGAGACGCTTCCGGACCACGGTGATTCTGAGATACTATGTGACGACGAGGCAGCGCGCGTAGTTGATGTGTATTCTCTTTGTGTCCCAGGCGCCTAGAACACAGTCTCAATATGTCTCAATGCAGCCGGTCATGAATGTGCTGCATTCGGTCTCATTTAACATACAGTCGCATATCCCACATCTTTTGGCTCAAAACGGCAATTTCAATCATTCTCAGCAATTTTCAACCTCTTTGCTTTTGCTGCCTGCTGTGTGTACAGTTCAACACAGGAAGCAATAGCCTGCCAAGTATTGAACATGTCCAGTTCAACCGGCTGTGTTTCAAGCCAAGTGAGGACAGCTTGCACGCAGGTGGAGTATTATTTGTCGAACGAGAACTTGCAGCATGACAGATTCTTTCGGGATCTGATTGCCGAGGATTTCGGCTGGATCGACATGGACCCCATTCTGCGATGCAATAAGATCAAAAGCTTGGGCATCTCCCGAGAAGATCTCCTTGAAGCACTTCGGTGCTCGGAGCTTCTGGACGTTCAGAACGGGCGCGTCCGTCGAAAAGCACCGTTCAGACCGGATGACATAGGACATGCAGAAGGACGTGGAGGAAGGAAAGGCGACACCAAAGGAGGCAAAGGAGAAACCAAAGGAAACCCAGGAGGCGGCAAAGGAAGGAAAGAGATGCAGGTTCCTATCTATGACCCTGCTGGACCTTGTGGATACTTCATGGCTGGATACTGCCAACATGGAAAGAAGTGCTTCCTTCAGCACTCTGTGCCATACGCTATGGCCATTCGGGACGAATGGCTACATGCCGGTGAGTCGGGACCTCGGAAAGCGTTGCAAGCTGCAGCGGTTGAAGTTCTGGGAGAAGATGCAGCAAGTCCGTTATTTCCTCGAGTTTTTTCTCACAAGCTTCAATGCAAGGCTCTGGCCACGGCAGGGGCAGATGACCAGAGCCTGTCAGATTTAGGTTTTGAGTGGAGCACAGAGGATGCCACCAAAGAGCTTGCTGAGAAGAAAAGCCGTTGGACTCGACATTCAAGGCGGAATGATCAGCCCTTTGAAAATCGACTGCATGGAGCACCCCAAATACACTATTTTCTGATCTTCGATCTTGAAGGGAAGCATGAGATCATTGAATTTCCTGTGCTACTGTTTGATGCAGTTGCAGGCCGTGAGATCGGCCGCTTCCAAAAGTTTGTCCGCCCCACTGATCTCTTCAAAGGTTGCCAGCTGACTGAGACCCCTGCAGTTCCATTTCCTGCTGTCCTGGAAGAGTTCAATCGCTGGCTAGAGGGGATGGTTGGGAAAGGTTTGCAAGCGATGGGGCAGGACTCGTCTGACATGGTGTTCGTGACCTGTGGTGATTGGGATTGCAAACACGTTTGGACCCAATGCCAGATTTGCGGCGTGCCTGCTCCAAGAGCCTTCTCACAGTGGATCAACATCAAAAGAACTTATGCCAACACCTTTGGAGGTGACTTCCGAGGAATGAAGAGCATGCAACTCAGCAAGCACAGGGCACATGTTGCTACAAAAATGCATGCGTTTTTCTCACATATTACCAGCCTTTTGTTTGTACACCCCTTTTCTTTTTTGTCGGGTACTGTTTGTTTTCTTCGTTTCGGGGGGGCGGTGTTGCTCCTACACAATTTGAGGCTTTCCAGGCTTCGAATGCTTGACAAAGATGGCAACCCCAAGCACGGATTTCACCACTTGGGCATGCATGATGTTGAAAACATCACTCGCTGCTTGGTCCACTTGGTGGAGCAAGGCACCCAGCTTGAAGTGAATGGATGGTGGAAATAATAGGGCCCCACTACCGGTCTCGGAACGCTGAAAGGCCGAGCGGCCAAGATTTCGCAATCCAGCCTAGCAGGCTTTGTACAGAAGGTTGTCCTGGATGTGTCCCGGATGCTGGGACCAAGTTGGTGCACAAAAAGGGTTTGACGTAGTTTGTTGTTTGCCTGAGGCGGACGCTGTAGCCTAATTCTTTGAAGTCAGCCAGCTGTCAATTGTTGGGCATCCGTCAGGCCATGATGCGATTGCTACGTGAATTGCACAAGGAGACATGGTCCAGCTAGGTTCCAGTTTGAGGGGTGCTGTCAAAGGAGGCAGAAGAAGGTCCCACAAGGCGTCGCGTCACTTTGCAGGAATTGGGCGAAACCCAGTCCAAAGCCGGAGATGCAGCACCTCAAAGTGCTTCAAGCCTCATGGCAGATCTCAAGCAAAAGGTCAATCAATGCATGATGCACGTTTCGCATTGAAACTACCGCATTTTTCGTATAATAGAATGTGTATATTACATATTTATATAGATATACATAGGTCTTTACATACACACATACTCCACATCCAACGTCAAAATCGCAGCTCTAAAGAAACATAGTTGAGTGCTGTAGTCCATGCCAATTTGTACTTGCTTGGTTTGTTTTGCTGCTCTTTTCTTATTCTCATCTTTTGTTTTGTGAGAGTTCACCTCCAAGGCAAGCTACCCATAGATCCCTGTCGCCTAGAGGAGCTTGTTGCTGCACGCCTCAGCAAATGGGTATCCTGGCATCACCAGTTTGGGATTCTTGTACACCGGGGTGCATCATTTACCAGGGTGCATTTGTTTCCGCGAATGCTTCGGACAAATTGGGTTATATAAATGGTGAAATCCTCAGTAAAGAGTGTGGGCTCAAGTGATCATCGTGAAAGCCAGCCTGTAGGCAAGGTCCAGATTTTGCGCATCCCCACCACGCGTTCCAGGGTTGTTGCGGCGTTGCAGTGGTAAGAAGTGATGCGAGTGACGCCTTCCGTCGCACATGGTGATGGTAGTGGTTTCTGGGTCCGTCCGGGTGACCCTCTCGCTCCCCCTTCACGGTTCTCGTGGGATCACTGTCGAATGGTCAGGTGTATTGCACTGATGGTATTTCTGAGCCGATCCCGGACCTTCCTGGTGTGTCACTTTCTGCTGGATGTGTTAGCGAAGAGCTACAGACTGGGAGCGTGAAAATGGCGCTGGTCACAGCAGAGCTCCCAGGTGACCACAAGACGCTGTTCGTCATTTTCAAGGGGACCTCCTACTTGCTGGATGTAGTGAACTGGAATATGGAGCACGACTACGAAGTGATCGGAGATGGAAACCATTTCATGCACAAGGGAGCTGCCGGAATCATGAGGAATATCGTCTTCATGAAAGTCCGGCCGTCCTCAGACTTCGCCAGAAGACTTGAGCAGGCGTACAAAGAAGGGGTGCGCAACATCGTTTTGGCTGGACACTCGCTTGGTGGCATGTATGCCATGGCTGGCATGTACTTTGCTTTTCAGGAGCTGCAAATTTTACTGCCAGAAACTTGTCTTGATTGGTCATCAAGATGTGAGGGACTTCAGTGACTCCTCAGACATCATTTACGTTTTCAGATCAGTTGAAGCGGGGGTCAAATCAACCGTGCTCGTATCCTACTGGTATATCATCTTTAGGACCGCTTCTACTAAAAATGCTGCTTATAGATACTTATAGGTTTTGGATAAGTTGGATTGCCAAGTAGCACAAACAGGTTGGAAGTGCGTTGCAAGTAGGGTAAGTATATAGCTTCAGTTTCAGACTATTTGTTGCTATGTCTATATATATATATATTAATTGCAACAACTTAAAGTCATTTGAGCTAATTACTTAGCAAAAGAAGTTTAAGTGGGTCTTTTTTACAAACAACTTATATAGTTCTACTTGGGATCTACTCCGAATTTTGCATTCAGTACTAAAAACATGTTCTTGATGACGGAAGACAATTGGAAAGACATGGTTTTGATTGATAAGCGGGGTGTCCGCTGGTTTGTTTGTGTTTTTAATGTTTTCTTGCTGTGCGGGTCGCTGTGTGTAGGCAGGAAGCGCCTGCTGCTCTATGTTTGTTGCTGGAACGGGTCCCCCTTGTGTAGATAGAACACGGCCCCTTGAACGGCTCGGTGAGGTTGGGTAGAAAGCGATGCATGCATTTGCTGGTTTGCGTTTGCTGTCCCCCGTGTGCAGGTAGACATGCGGTGCTTGAACGTGAACGGGTCAGTTTGTGAAGATAGAATTCGGATGAAAGCGGTGTGTTTAAGCTGGTTTGTGCTATTGCGTTCTCGACTTAGTCTACTGGCTACTGTTTGCAGAGCGGTTGCCCGCTTGCTTTGTGTTGGCATCTCCGGAAGGCATCCGAAGACAACCAGGTAGTTTAAGCCTGACAAAGCTCACAAAGAAACCTGAAGATAGTTTGTAGGTATCCGGTGAAGAGTTGGAACGGAAACGCCAGCAGAGAACCACTCACGCCTCACGCACACCAAAAAAAGCGTGCTGCGCAAACTAAACTATATGCACGATATACAGGAAAACAAGAACAACGTACTTTCAGAACCGCTCGCAAAGAAAAGGCAACACAACAAAGTTCAAGCGGATCTGTCGGAATAAACATGCATCCGCTAAGTTTGTTTGCAAGCTACAAGCAGTGTTCCGCTGGTTTGTATTGTTAGACATCCAATATATATATTAGACCAAACGTTGGCCTCTTTATTTGGGGCCTTCTGTTGAAATTGACGTCTAAAAACGGAGGTTCGTAACTGATTGGGGCCTGGGTATGTAACTGATGTGGCCCTCAGCATGTAAATGAGGTTGGGTCATGTAAATGATTGGGCCGTGCACATGTAAATCAAGTCACGGTGGAACGTCAACATGAGGAGATATTGATATGACTCAGAACTATTATTTCTATTACTACTATTCCTAGATTAGACTATGGCAACGACTATGGGCTATTAGCAAGGCACTATTAGGCTATGGGCCATGGGCCTTTAGTAAAGTCTATAAGTCTATACTATCTAATATCTATAGTTAAAGATGGGTGTGGAAACTTTGGGGTCAAATGTGTGGACAACATCTCTCTCTCTCTCTCTTCAATTTGTTATCCATTTGAAGATGGTGAGTCGCCCATATTAATATTGCATTTTGAGAGAGAGGGAGAGAGGGCGAATGGGAGAGAGACGAGCTGTGGTGGCCCAAGCAAGCGCTTCACTTCCCCAGCATGAAGCGCCATGGCAGCTGGGATTTGTTTGAAGACAGCCCAGACGGCTCTACAGAATCTGGAATGCATTGTATGTTACACACATCACATCACAGACAAACAAAGGTGCAATCAGTTCATATCATACCTCGCATTCTCACAATAACATTCTGCTACATACTCCAATACTGACTGCAGTGGCGCAGACAAGTTTGTTGTGTCAAGTTTGGTGTCTCTTGTAGACGCTGTTCTCAAACAAGGAGCAGGAGGAGGAGGACGAGGACGCGCAGAACAACCCTCCTGATTCTGAGAATGGGCCTTGCGTCACTACGTGTCCAGACTTTTGGGTGCCAGCGAGCCTGGGCTGAAGTCAGTAAGTTAGTTAGTCGTAAGTTAGTTAGGTTAGGAAGTCAGTAAGTTAGTTAGTAGTCGTAGTAGTAGTCGTCGTCGTAGTAGTAGTAGTAGTAGGAGTAGGAGTAGTAGTAGTAGTAGTTGTTGTTGTTGTTGTTGTAGGGGAAAGATCGTTTGGGTTTTCTTCAGGGTCTGAACCTTCACTCGCCACTGTAGGTATTTCAATCTGGCTCAGCTCTCCGATGATGATCGAAAGGAGATTGTGGACAAAAGGCCAACAGGCTGCAAGTTCCAAACAACTAACTAACTTAACTTACATGTCTAGGAATCGTAATCCCTAATCATAAATAGAATAGTCTAGTCAGAATCCATTGCTTTTACTCTCCTGGAAACCTCCTAGCTTTGGAGCCAATTGTTTCAATGGTGGCTTTTGTAGCTGCACCCCTTTTACTTGCGATTTCTTACTTTATAATCACTACTTTAAAGAAGTGAAGCGGTGAAGTGATGAGACGAGTCGACTTGCAAGACTTGAACATTGAATGCGTTTCACAGTGTTATTTTTGATCATTTGGACTGCTGTATGCATTGGGCACCATGGACCATACTTATACTGTATACAAGTACATCATGCATATCATACACACCACACATGTCCTCATTTCACATGACGGGACGGGTGACTGGTGCAATGCGACAAGGTATATATTCTGGGGAGGATGCGAGGGAGCTGGGACAACGGCTTATGTAGCGTGCCTGGATTGCAATCATTGAGAGTCAGCCAAACCAAACCAAGCTAACAACCTTAGCCTTAGCATAAGTTTTGAACTTGTAGTTGTTGTACTTGTAATTTGTAAGTTTGGTATGACTCTGACTGTGATATAGAACCAGTAGTGACTAGGGGCCTGGGGGTTCTTGGTGTGTGCGTGTTTCGGCTTTCAGGCTTCAAGTAAAGTGAATTTGGAAAGTTAGGTTCATGATTTGTCCAATTGGTTCCGTTACTGTTACTGTTTCACATAGTTCTGCACACCAGCAGCATAAACAATAGAAAGGATCAGGGAGAAGGTTCGACATTTTGCATGTCCAGTATTTTTCCAGTCATTCCGAGTCATTCCTACTAAGTTCAAGAGTTGCCAAAGAGCTTGGCATCACCATGAACCTCTCCTTCAGCAGTGAAAAGGATGCAAAAGCGAGGGATTGGTGCATGAAGCATGGGGACTGCAACTTGGCACTGGTGTTCCGAATGGGTAGTGTAGGGATGGACCCTTTTTGCCTAGCGTTGTCAAGCGAAATGATGGAGGTTGACCCTAAATGATTGAGGTGAAAGGACCAAGGCTAAAGGCCACTTCTGCCATTTCAGGCTTCAGCAATGGTCTGGTTTAGTGGTCACAGTCCACACTTGTACAGTCTAGTCCAATCAGTCCAAACATCTGACACCGCCAGCCAACCATGGACCATGGAAGTTTACTCTAAGGGCATCATTTCTACAAAGACATTGAGGACGACCTTGAGGGCGGATACTGTTTTGCTTGCGGCGACGTTCATCATTGCCTGAGCATAGACGAAACTTTCCTTGATTTGATTTGCAAATTTCAGTAGTTGTCACAGACTGCGACTCAATCAAATTATGACTGGCGTTCTCTACATTTTTAACTTTAAGACTTAATGCAACAGTTCAAACAACACAACTATCAGACTGACTATCAGTCATTATCATCGTCCCATTTTGACTTATATGAATTATATGAATGAACTCCTGATTTATTAGCCATATCATGTCATATCAAGAATAGAATAATCTCTTTCAGATCAAGTGCCATTGACACCATGAGTTGTCACCTAATGGTCAGACTCTTGCTCCTCAAAAAAAAGTCAGTCAAAGACGCACATTTGCAATTAGCATTGGTTTTGTTTCAAGCAAGAAATCCAGTGTGGCACTGAGGATGACTTGGCACTTTTGGGCATCCCATGCCCTCTTTTCTCATCATTGAACCCAAAGGCACGGCGAGCAGGCTACAACCCTTTCTTGGAGAGTCTTGGCTCTTAGCACAGCTCTGAAATGGAGTGGTGACTCATCACCAAAAAAGACTACAAAATGTCACCATCAAAGCTATGAAGAGATCAAATAGCCAGAGTCATTGACATTGACCTGTTGAGAGCGGGTCTTGACAGATGTGCCCTGTACAACTGTACGGTACGTGTGTTTTTATATTAATGCTCATTGACGGCCAACGCCAAAGCTGGTTCGAGTCAGTACTCACATATCTTAAACAGCCTTAGGATAGATGGATGTGGCATCTGAGGCCTGAGGTGCGCGTTATCAAGGCATGTCTCAAAAAATTGAGAGTCCGCAACCCTCGCTGCTTTGTGATAGAAGAGGCGCCTTGTCTAGGAAAGAGCCATGTGAGAAACGGCCAATTGGCCACTCTCGTAAAAACAAACGCAGAAAGACTGGTAGTCAAATTGGCAGCTTTGGCAATTTGCGACAGCAAACAGCACACTTGACAATTTGATTGTACCATACTGTACTGTCCAGCCGGATTCCCGCCACTTCCCCACGTGTGTGTCTTTTTTCCCTTTGTTGGCATTGGCTGAGAGGTTCAATTACACTGATAGTGATAATGATATGATATGATTGATATGATACACTGATACAAATACAGGATTTACTAGTAATTAGCAGTAGCAGTAGTAGTCACTAGAGTCACTAGAAGCACTGGTGGTGCAGGTTGCCTGTGTAGATTGTGAACGTTTCAATGCAAAGGCACTGGCAATAATATGAAAGAATATGAATTGGAATTGGTTAGTGCAGTTTCCGTTTTCCTTGTTACATTGTTGTTGCTGAACTGTGGGGTTACTGCTTTCTACTGGCACCTCAGGTTTGGTCCATCATGAAGCCATTTCCAGAGCCTTTGAGCGGGTCATGGAAGAAGTACAAGGCGCCGCCGTTTGAGGTTGCGACTT